GTGCAGAATGCAGCTAGTGCAAAACGCAGCTGCATGTCTTCTCACTGGCCATAAAAAGCGTGACCACATCACCCCAATTCCGGCCTCATTGCACTGGCTTCCAATTCGGTTCAGAATTGATTTTAAACTCCTTTTGTTTGTTTTTAAAGCCCTAAATGGGCTGGCTCCGGCCTATATAGCCGAACTCCTCCATCGCTACACCCCAGCCAGAGCTTTAAGGTCAGCTGATCAGCTGCTGCTGATAGTGCCCAAGACCAGGCTCAAAATCCGAGGGCACAGAGCCTTCGCAGCAGCTGGCCCTATGGCTCTGGAACACTCTGCCCCTCCATGTGAGGTCGGCCCAGACCCTTGGGGTTTTTAAATCTACACTTAAGACATACTTCTTCTCTCTGGCCTTCTAGTCTGAGCGGAGCACGACTACTGACATTTCCCTGTGTGTTATTTTTTATTTGTGTTGTTGTATTTGTTGTAAAGTGTTTTTATTGTATGTACAGCACTTTGGCTCGACCAAAAATATTTAAAAAAAATGTGCTATATANTTCTTCTCTCTGGCCTTCTAGTCTGAGCGGAGCACGACTACTGACATTTCCCTGTGTGTTATTTTTTATTTGTGCTTTTGTATTTGTTGTAAAGTGTTTTTATTGTAAAGTATTTTTATTGTATGTACAGCACTTTGGCTCGACCAAAAATATTTAAAAAAAATGTGCTATATAAATAAAACTTAATTTGATTTAGAACAGATACAAAATGTGCGATTAATTTGCGATGAATCGCAATTAACTATGGACATCATGCGATTTATCGCGATATAAAATATAAATATTTTAATCGACTGACAGCCTTTTTTTATAGACATAGTCCTAAACCCAGTTTACGGTCACATAATCAGATTGAGAGATACTTTAATTATCCCGGGGGAAATCGTTTTTTTTAATGTTCCTTTTTACAACGAAATCAAAATATATTCAATTTTATTTAATTATAAAATTGAACAACCATCACGAAAATAAATTTCCCTGGGAAAAGTAGCTTTTTTAAATACAGTCTACATTCTCACTTCTGTATACAGTCTACAGTCCCAGGTCTCCAGTCTCCAGGGTGATGATCATCATGTCGATGCTGTGGTTTCCTGGCAGAGAGGATCCAGCCAGCTCAGATTTATCTGCATCAAACGTTTCTAGATCAACGTCCACACAGCTCATCTTCCACCTGTTGAGCAACACTTCTATGGACCAGTCAGCACTGTTGTGGCAAAGGGGGGTAGGAGGGTGGAATCAGAAGGAAGGACAAGAGAAGGAGGAGGTAGAGAGGAAGGTTAAAATCGAAACATTGTACTCAATCCTATTTTATTTAAAAGTGTGATGAGTGTATTCAGCACCTCCTCTCCTGGTATGTGGTCCAAAACTGAGCTCTGGGGTTTTTCCTCAGAAGATAAGCGATGGTCAGGAGAACGTCCTCAAAATCTGAAACAGGGCAGAGGCGTTATTACCCGGGTGTACATGCACACTATACGTTATTAATCAGGTACACATGCACACAGGAAGTACGTGCACACGGGGACTGACCCCGGGGCTCGTAGAAGACGTCTGATCCCAGGATGATGTCCAGCTGGGGTAGCTGAGTGAGCTCAGGTGAGACCTCCCCCCAGGTGAGAGGCAACACGCTTATGTCGTGGAGGCCGTTTGCTGCACAGCTGCGCCGGCAGTTCTCCAGACAGAGAGGCTTCTCGGCGTTGTCCGACAGGATCACCTTGGCCCCGCACCGAGCAGCCACCACACCGGGCAGACTCACACCTGCACCGAGCTGTGGAGACACACATAGACTCAGAAAGTGTGTCCAGCAGGCAGAGGTGGGGGACTCGAGTCACATTACTTGACTCGAGTCCGACTCGAGTCGCATATTTTTGGACTTGAGACTTGCTTGACTAACATTGATAAAAGACTTGACTTGGACTTGGTATTCATGACTTGAGACTTGACTTGAATTGAGACGGATGACTCGAAAGGACTTTACTTTTAAAAATATTTGCATTTGTTTTTGTATTGTACGGAGCCCCTAAAGGGCAATGAAAAAATATATATACTGTATCTCGTTCGCACGAGAAAGTTACCGGAGCGCCAAGTAGGAAGTGGAGCAAACGGGAGACAACCGTTTCATTGCAGACTGTTATGTTTATGTTGGGAAATGGCAGTGCATACATTATTTTAGATATACAGTGGGGCAAAAAAGTATTTAGTCAGCCACCAATTGTGCAAGTTCTCCCACATAAAAAGATGAGAGGCCTGTAATTTTCATCCTAGGTGTACCTAAACTATGAGAGACAAAATGAGAAGAAAAAAAAAATCCAGAAAATCACATTGTCTGATTTTTAAAGAATTTATTTGCAAATTATGGTAGAAAATAAGTATTTGGTCAATAACAAAAGTTCATCTCAAAACTTTGTTATATACCCTTTGTTGGCAATGACAGAGGTCAAACGTTTTCTGTAAGTGTTCACAAGGTTTTCACACACTGTTGCTGGTATTTTGGCCCATTCCTCCATGCAGATCTCCTCTAGAGCAGTGATGTTTTGGGGCTGTCGCTGGGCAACACAGACTTTCAACTCCCTCCAAAGATTCATCACTGCTCTAGAGGAGATCTGCATGGAGGAATGGGCCAAAATACCAGNGTTACATGGCCCCATTCATTCTTTCCTTTACACGGATCAGTCGTCCTGTTCCCTTTGCAGAAGAACAGCCCCAAAGCATGATGTTTCCACCCCCATGTTTCACAGTAGGTATGGTGTTCTTTGGATGCAACTCAGCATTCTTTCTCCTCCAAACACGTCTAGTTGAGTTTTTACCAAAAAGTTCTATTTTGGTTTCATCTGACCATATGACATTCTCCCAATCCTCTTCTGGATCATCTAAATGCTCTCTAGCAAACTTCAGACGGGCCTGGACATGTACTGGCTTAAGCAGGGGGACACGTCTGGCACTGCAGGATTTGAGTCCCTGGCGGCGTAGTGTGTTACTGATGGTAGCCTTTGTTACTTTGGTCCCAGCTCTCTGCAGGTCATTGACTAGGTCCCCCCGTGTGGTTCTGGGATTTTTGCTCACCGTTCTTGTGATCATTTTGACCCCACGGGGTTAGATCTTGCGTGGAGCCCCAGATCGAGTCAGATTATCAGTGGTCTTGTATGTCTTCCATTTTCTAATAATTGCTCCCGTAGTTGATTTCTTCACACCAAGCTGCTTACCTATTACAGATTCAGTCTTCCCTGCCTGGTGCAGGTCTACAATTTTGTTTCTGGTGTCCTTTGACAGCTCTTTGGTCTTGGCCATAGTAGAGTTTGGAGTGTGACTGTTTGAGGTTGTGGACAGGTGTCTTTTATACTGATAACGAGTTCAAACAGGTGCCATTAATACAGTTAACAAGTGGAGGACAGAGGAGGCTCTTAAAGAAGAAGTTACAGGTCTGTGAGAGCCAGAAATCTTGTTTGTTTGTAGGTGACCAAATACTTATTTTACTGAGGAATTTACCAATTCATTCATTAAAAATCCTACAATGTGATTTCCTGATTCTTTCCCCCCATTCTGTCTCTCATAGTTGAAGTGTACCTAGGATGAAAATTACACACCTCTCATCTTTTTAAGTTGGAGAACTTGCACAATTGGTGGCTGACTAAATACTTTTTTGCCCCACTGTATGTGTATATACACCTTCGAGCTGTTGTCGATCTTATTTTGCGCAGCTTACTAGTAAATGTATGCACAGAACTATTTGTACACAGCATGTTCCATGATCTATCCAGACTTCCTGTTGGAGGGTTTAAAAACATCCTGTGTCCGCTAGTCGGTTTGGAACTGCACTTAATGTGTCGAACTCGCAGACTGAGTGGCATTGGAGAGGGAGAGGAAATGCAACTGTGCAACATTCTTACTCCGTACTGGTTTATATTCTTCTTCTTTATCTTAGCAGGCCCATTGTGGCATATATTGGTGTCTTATCACCAAGTATTGATCAATGAAATTGTGTAACAATTGGTAGCACTGTGTACAGTTTGAACAGGAAATCAGAAACCCACTCATTGATAAAACTCATGGAGGTGAAATGTAATTATCTGGAAAGTGAAATGATCTGACCTGTACGGTGGTCTGCGCTTCTCCCCTGCAAACTGGAACAGGTCGTCCCTGAAGAAGAGCGGCACCTGGTAGTCCTCCAGTAGTTTGCGGCGTTTGGCGTGTTCACCGTAGCTGCTGTCGAAGATGTAGAGCGGGCTGTCGTCCCTGGTGGTCTCCAGGTACTCCATGTAGTACTTCATCTTCATCTTCACAGAGTACCCATCGTTGTCCTCTCCGCATTTGAATTTCTGGTTGCGGTATTTGCGTTTAAGGCGCTCAAGGGTCCACTTTTCCCGGGCGGGCCAGGTCTCCTGGCTGCTCTGCAGGACAACAGGCTTGTAAGGCCGCTCGAAGCGCCGGATGAACTCTTCTGGGCTGAGGTGTAGCGTGTCCACGCGCTCCACATTATCCTGTAACACAACAGATATTAGTCAAACATGGAACGGAATTTCCAAAATCATCACATACTCTTCTGTCCATCTGGATAACAAAAGGGTTCAACCTGTTAAATGATACATCTTCTTTTTTAAATATATATTTCCCAACCTTTGAGACAGGGCATTTCCAGCTTCCATCTCTATTCTATGACCGGATAAGAGCTTTAGAACAATATTGTGTCAACAAATTGTGAAAAGCCCTCCGATTTATTTTTCAAATGTTTAAAGGTATTTTTTTCATATATTTGACTATTGATCTATTTGAAACTACCATTACATCGTCACTTTACCTTTAATACACTTTAACGTAGGTGTGTGTGTGTGTGTGTGTGTGTGTGTGTGTGTGTATGTGTGCCCATATATCTTACATTTAGTACTTTTTATATCTTAAGTATATATCTATTCGCCTAACTTAAAAAACATAAATAATGAGCATTGTTGGATGGAGCCAGATTTGTTGGTACGATTTTCTTTGTTATACCATAATTGTGCATTTCAGAATAAATAAATACATTAAAGTCCATTAATATAAACACATGTATTCCATCAAACAGCTTAAAACAATTAAGTATGTGATGAAGTATGAATAAAGGGTTCATAGCCTGAAATTATACTAAGATTCACTTTGATTTTTTTGTGAAACCCCCGCTCAGTGTGTACGTGACAAGCTGCACACTTACTGTGGGCTGCGGCTTGCTAATGTTAGCTTAGCCTTGTATGCTACATTGACAGTTTACCTTCACGGTGCGGTGTGACAGGTCATATGTTTCATGATAGTTGTATTTTATCCAGTCTAATGAGTCCTTCAGCTCGGGTCTGGCGCTCCGTTTCGCCTCTTTAATCCTCTTCTTACTTTTGTGGTTCATTTCTCCTCCGTGTGTTAACCGCTTCTCAGCTAGCTATCGAACTATCCCAGGGCTAATGCAGAAATACATCCACTAGCCTGCACTGCAACCCGGCGGCTAGCTACGATGTTCTGACAGCCTCACCTTATGTATTTGATTAGATAACAAAACAAGTCTGTGTATGTGTTAAACACGTCCTCAGATCTACACCAACACATGTAAAGACACTTTTTAAAACCTGCTTGGTCGACACACTTTTGTTAAATAGCTAACAAGACAGCCAAGCTAGCTAATGCCGGCAACTGATTGACATCCATAGCGCCGGCCTCTTTTCCGGAACAGAAAGCTCATTGGCTTCAGCGTCCGCAAAAGCAATACGTTTATTTGATAGGATGTAGGTGAGCCTTCCCGCCAGACATTAACTGTGATTTGATTGGCTGTTGCAGTCAGCAATACGGAACTAGACATAGCATGGGCTGCAAGTGATAAACATAAATATCAATTAAATTAGTTAACAATACATTTTTTCAGAAAAAAAGAGTCGTAATAATAGCTGGTGATGTTATATTGTATTAGCCCTCATGATGGACCACAGTGAAGTCGAAACACCTAACATAGCATACAAAACATTTACATTTGAGGACAACAACGAAAACACACAAGAGTCCCTTTCTGTTTCAATACCTGAGGTACGTTGGAGTTTTTTTAAAGAACATTATTATAATACAGGTAGAGCAGTTGTGTTTAACCCCTTCAGAAACTAACTTTGACGGTAGAGTCTTCCCTTTACATCAGCATACATGCAGTTTTATTATAACGTTATTTAAATAAAATGATAACTTGGATGATTGGCTTCTTTCTAACTATTAATGTATGGTTAATCTAAATGAACGATGTTATATACGTGGTTTTTACTTGCTTAGACCGCATGCAATTGTAATTCTATACATTAGAACCACTACTTTTATTCGGCGTTAATAAAGTGTCCCAGAATGTATTAATTAAAGAACATTTCAACCAATTGGATTGCCTCTTCACGTCCACCAATCAGATTACAGTTTAAGCGCAGCACACCGCAAAACATTTTATTGAATGATGTAGAGTCCGATCTTTAGGCGACTTGATTTCTCAAAAATCTTGAGCCAGCCACGTACACATGTGTGATGTAATATGCAATTCATCTTTAAAATGTTGAATTTATAATGTGATGTCACCATTCACTAACTTGCAGTCTAACTATGATCCACACTCTTAGGTCCTGGATCCACACTATGGCATGTATGTGTGGCCTTGTGCAGTGGTGCTGGCTCAGTGTCTATGGTCACAGAGACAGGAGCTGAGAGACAAGACAGTGTTGGAGGTGAGAAGAAGAATTTCAGTGAACATGATGTGATCTATGCTGCCATTTTGGAAACCACAAGGCCGGTTAAAGTGACTTGATAGACAAGTTTGATCTTTTTGTAGTCAAACCCAATTCAGTCAACATGACATTTACCTTTTTTTAAGCATATTTCCATGCAGAGAGATGAGGTGACTTAGAACAGAACAATGCCCTGCCTTTTGGTTAACACATGACAAAGCATTATTTATTTGTATTGCATTTTCAATGGCGCTAAATTCTTAAACTAAAAATAATAATTAAAGGTGATTTTTTTTATATCTACCTGTTTTACTTTGTATTTTAACTTACACTAATATTGTGTTGTTTAAAACATTTTAATATCACTAATCTTTAAAATGTACAATGCCGTTTTAGGACCATTGTAAATTAAAAAGAGTTGGTGAAGGGGGGTAATATTCTTAGAAAATAACTAGGAATTTCTAACTTAAAAGTGCAACAGGTAAAACATTAGAATAGATAATACACACATTTTGGAGCAAAATATGGAACACTGTCTGAGGTAATAAGGTCCTACATTTTCCAAAGAAAAACAACGTATTGATATAAGTACTTAGAAAAAAACTCTGTAGGGCCTATATTCTGAGATTTAAGTGATACATTCTGGTGAAAAAAATCACAAATACATGAATGATACATGTGTGCGAAAAAATAAGCAGGAATGTCATGGGATCAAATGTTCCAATTTACATTTATTTTTGTCAACTTTTGTCACCTGGGGCCTGTACTACGAAGCTGGTTCAACCTAACCTGGATATGTTTGAGTTAGCCGGTTGGCCTAATCCAAAACATACGCTCTCTCGCTAAACGGTACTACGACGCGGGTTATCAAGTCGATCGCTCAAGCCAGCCGTGCCCTATCTAGTTAGGTGCGCGTTCACATGAAAGGGGTGGTATTTGGAGCATTCGACCAATCACAAACATGGAGAAGCGTACTGACAGCGCAGCTTCATACTTCCTGAATGAAAAGTCAACTATAATATTAGACATATGAAGAAGTTAAACATCCATGACTTAAACACTGTATCCAGGATAAAAGCCACATAGCTGCACCTGCAAGGTGAATACAGCTGGTAAAAGAAAAAGTGTTTGAATGCGTACATTAACAGGTTTATGATATCACTGCCCCGTCTAAGACACGATCTGACTTTAATTACATTTGACTCGAGTGTTTCGTCAACTTAATGTGTTGCTTAAAATAATACTTCTGCATACAGTATGTGACACTGTGAGTGTTGCACGGCCAGATACGGCTCAGCTGACTCAGATATGGAAATATATGATGTGATATGTGATATGAATGATAATGGGACACATCGACGTCTACACTCACAGTGCCGCGGACTGTACTTAATGTTACTTTGATCCGGTCACTTATGTTGCGGCAGATATTTAAGTAAGCTTTCTTAACGCTAATGTTATAATAGTCAGATTGCTCTGAAGATGGGAGGTGATATTCTATTAATGTTCACGTTCACACAGTGAGTGATTTTTGCCAGCTATCTTTCCTGCAACGGCAGCTTTTCTGTATTTCCTTTCTCCTGTAATATGACTTGATCGCTTTAAATTCCGCACACTGAGCTCTGATTGATCAGCAGGCAGTGCTTTCACTGAGTTGAGCTCTTAGCCTGCAACCTAACCTGCTCCGGGGCAGGTTAGCCGCACAGCATAAGTTACCATGGAGATCTAGCCCGCTAAAAACAGAACCAGCTTCTTAGGACCGGAAAGCCCGAGCTTTCCCTGAAGTTAGCCGGCTAAGCGAAAATCCAGCTTCGTAGTACAGGCCTCAGGTGGACAGATTGGTGGATTAGCTCAGGTGAGGGGAATGAGGTAATTAGGCAGGAAAACAAGCAGGCAGCTGATTGGCTGGCAAACTCTTTGAGCTGGAAGGACTAACGAGCTAATTCAAAGCAGGTGTGTAGACGGAGGGAAAGGCAGCACAGAAACACAAGATTAAAAAAAAGCCAGAAAACAAAATCCTCTTGATCACTGAGACTGAAAACAAAGGGCTAAAGGCAGCTTGACAACACAGCCAGATTGTGACACTAAACACATTTCATAGCCTTGTTCTTTCCCTTTGTGCTGATTCCAACAAACTTGAAAATACCGGCTTACAGCAGAAAGAGGCTGAAGGTCAAGCTTTTGACCTGAACAAAAGGACATTTTTGTTCATGTCATACCTACATCAAAACAAAAGCAAGCCATATGCCTTACTAAACTGTATTTCCCTGTCTACCATCACAGCTGAAAACACTCATTAGTTATGTCATAGTTGCCAAAAGCCCCCAGCCAGGAGTGTAATGCATTTATGTATGTTTTCACATGGCTTTCTTTGACCAGACGGATCAAAACATCACTACAAAGACTACTCGATGTAGAAAATAAACCTTTGTCTGGCTAAGAGAGATATTTCCAGTTAGTAAATGTTCAAAGGTCTTATATAAGACACGGCTGATGATGAGATCGTTAGGAGTGGGTGTTCTTCTATAAGTCACAGGGTCAAAGATGCAACGCTGCACACAAGCTTTTAAACACTATTATGTCAGTAACATAAACTTCTCAATATGTAAATAAAGCTGATGTTCTCTTTACCTATTTGCTTGTAAGGTAAGCAGCAACTTCTTTATGCCCTAAATACAAATATTACAACAGATGAATTCAACCTTATACTAATTGGGATTGTTAGACATTCCTTCTGTCTCACACATAAACAATGCAAATACAAGTTATACAGATTTTACATTTATAAAAAAACATAGCACTCTACTGGCATTGAAAATAAGTCAACATTAACGTTATTGGGTTGATTAAGCAATCTGTAATGATTTTCTAAACGCAAACAATAATGTTGATAGCTAGCATACAGCATCAATCATCTCTTACAGTGAGGGCACAGCAGTAAAGTGCAGTTTGAGATGATGCTACCTGTTTTTGAAATTCACACATTGCGAAGTGTTTCACATTGAACCACATGCTGTGTACTAACAGAAGTGTTCGAATTGAGGCGCAGCATGGTACTTGCATATAAGCTCCTAGTGTCCATCAATTACTAATATTGACTGCTCAATATGGCGGTTATTGTCCTTTTTAGCTACTTTAGATGAAACTGCCCCCACTTCTGTAATGCTAAAGCATCAATGGCTTTGTTCTGAATTTCCTGCTAATCAGCAGAAATGAAACAAGAATTAGAGCGAGTCTCGGCCCCTTGTGGCCTTTTTTGTAATAGAGGTACAAAGACACCTTCTGAACCCTTCAGGTGGCAACAACCCCCCGCTCTCTTTTCAACTGGCACATTCATGTCTACTCTTCCAAAATTATTTAAGTATTTTTCTGAAAAGTCTCTGTTGTGGCCAAAAGAAAACTGGCAGATCTATGCTGCATATGTTTTGCAGGTTAATTATCCAACTGCTTACTCGCTCAACTGCGCACAACCAATCCAAGCTACAAGGAATAATGGTGCATTCACACGGCTCAGAGAGCAACTTCGAGATTTTAACAGTATCAGGGGCACACAGGCCATGGTGGCCGTAGGATGTACAATTATTTTTGGGGCTTCACGGCTGGACCGAGGGGCAATGACAGCCATGGCCCTCACGGCCGCCGTGAAAATCCCACCCTGTAACCAACACTGAAATAAGACTTTAGTAACACCTGGAGTAAATTCACTACCTACTGTACCCTACAGTATTCAAAGTAATTACAACTAGCTGCACCTTTACCAGCTTCGATTAACACATTAAAAGGTCACCTATTATGCAAAACCCACTTGTCAATCTTTTATCCATAAATATGTGTCCCCTCTGTGTTTATGGAATGCCGTTTAAGCCAAAATTAAATAAATACATAAATAAATACATAAATAATTAAATATGCATCTGAAATAAATTCTGAAATAAATAAATGAGGCAATAAATATATGTACATTTAAATACACATTTATTTATTTCATGGGACTTTTATTTCATAATGCCACATTTATTTATTTCAGTCAGACAACTCATGTGTTTCTTAATATGTTTATTAGAAGCAGCATATAGTTTGGGTTTTGCGTCTAGGCTCGGGCCTCATCACTCCACAGATTTACAAAGAACATTGGGTGATGATTAGATAACTATCCCCTGAGCCTACAGGTGGAAGCTGGGGTGGTGGTGGGGCAGGCGAGCAGCAGCAACATGAACACAGCAATAGCGAGTGAACACAGCAGTGGCAGCNAACCCCGTGGGGTCAAAATGATCACAAGGACGGTGAGCAAAAATCCCAGAACCACACGGGGGGACCTAGTCAATGACCTGCAGAGAGCTGGGACCAAAGTAACAAAGGCTACCATCAGTAACACACTCCGCCGCCAGGGACTCAAATCCTGCAGTGCCAGATGTGTCCCCCTGCTTAAGCCAGTACATGTCCAGGCCCGTCTGAAGTTTGCTAGAGAGCATTTAGATGATCCAGAAGAGGATTGGGAGAATGTCATATGGTCAGATGAAACCAAAATAGAACTTTTTGGTAAAAACTCAACTAGACGTGTTTGGAGGAGAAAGAATGCTGAGTTGCATCCAAAGAACACCATACCTACTCACTTCTTGTAGCCCTCGAAAGGGTTTTGGAGGTTGATGCCTCGGTGAACGTGAGTTGTTTGGCTTTCTTGTCCGCAGCAGCAGAAAGCATTTTCGAAAAATGTTTGAATGAATCAAAGTGGGTCGTCACCGTCGATTTTCTCTTATGCTCCAACACACAGTTGCACGGGGTGCAGAATAGTTTCCCCCCACTTTCGTGCAAGACATCGGGGTACTGCTTTGCCCGGTCTTTAGCAGAAATGTTCGTCGGTAAATGAGATGGATCAGATTTTTTCATCTTGGTGTTTTCTCTCTCGTGTGAGTTCCACACGTTCACTTTACGGTGTTGTTTACCTTCTGTGATGCGCGAGCTGATGACGTCGCGTCATCATCACTACTTCACGTCAAGAGTAGTTAACTTTTTTTTTTTCAACTTTGTTTGGAAAAATGTGGGGATTATCCGCCATTTTAATAAATATGCGCCCTTTTAAAAATCTGCGCCATTTAGTTGATTATGCTGTAAATTATGGGATCGCGTCTTTCTGGAGGGTCTAATTGAGGGATTTTTATTCCTAAATAATATTCGTAAACTTAACCATGTTATAGCCTCAGAAAGGCTAAACGACAAAGAATACATTCATTAACTACATTATTACATTTAGCTGACGCTTTTATAAACAAAAAAAATAAACACTTACCGGTCCTTGAACCAGTGACCCTTCAGTTGAAAGTCAACTGCCTTCCAGCTGATCCACAGCCCACATGCTAATTCTACCTGAAAACACTGTAGTATTACTTTACACTTTACACCGATCAACACATTCCTTCATTTCTATTTCTCACTCGTCGTCTCCGATCTGTCTGTAGATGGTTTTAATTGGCATGTGTAATTTAGTGCAAAACTTTTATTTAAACCCAGGAAAAGTAAGCAGGTTATGAAACCAAACTTAAGTGATGTGTTGAGTCTATCTAGTCCGCTGCGCTTCGCCTCAGCTCCGATACTGCACACACACCCACAGCCCGACACAGTACACACATCAGCAAGTGAGACAAACAATCTTCAGAGGGGGTCTGAGCTGTTCTGTTTCCACCGTGGCACCGGGCCCGGGTACAGGAGGGATATTATGAGTAGGGATGCTCCGATCGATCGGCTGCCGATCGATATCGGCCGATATTCACTCTCTGCCGATCGATCGGTGCTCTCTAAAAAAGCCGATCGGGAGAGCCAATCACATAACGTAAAATACATGACACTTTTCTCTGTGCGCGGCAAAAACAAGCTCGCCAAAATGGCTTCACCAGTCTGGCAGTATTTTAAGGTGTCCGAAAAAGACAATAAAATAGCGGTATGCAACGTGTGTGAAGCAGAAATCCTGCAGCTCCACCCGCTGTGACGGACCGGTGAGTGGAGCAGAACACACACTACATTACATTGCATTTAGCTGACGCTTTTATCCAAAGCGACTTACAATAAGTACATTCAACCTGGAAGATACAACCTTGAAGAAAACAGAATCATATAAGTAAATCAGGTTTCATAGAGCCAAACATTTCAAGTGCTACTCAACTGGCTTTAGATAAGCCAGTCCTTTATTAGTATATAAGTGCTTTGTTAGTAATTCTATCGCTCGAATTGGAGTCGAAAGAGATGAGTTTTCAGTCTGCGCCGGAAGATGTGCAAGCTATCTGCTGTCCTGATGTCAATGGGGAGCTCATTCCACCATTTTGGAGCCAGGATAGCAAACCCACGTGTTTTTGCTGATGGGAACTTGGGTCCCCCTCACAGTGCGGGTGCACCGAGCTGTTTGGCCGATGCAGAGCGAAGTGCACACGCTGGGGTGTACAGTTTAACCATGTCCTGGATGTAGGAAGGGCCAGATCCATTCGCAGCATGGTAGACACTAGAGTTAGACCTAACACACTTAGCTATTTTATCTACCTCTGGAACAAGCTAAACTAGTTATAAATATATTTATTCTTCACTCATTACTGGATCAGTGAGCTGCATGAGATAGCACGTCCGCTCATTTCTCCCGTGTTATTATCCAAAGTGAATGTAAACTTGAATAATGTACTTCATTTGAATGTAATAATTATGTTGGTTGTTGTTTGTGGAAGCGCCATTGAATGAGCCCCATTAACTGAGTTTTAAACTTTTAAATGGAAGATCCCCATAGGCCCCGCCCACACGATCGGCCTCAAAATTGACGATCGGAGCATCCCTAATTATGAGTGTTGTAAAACTGAAGTGTCAGTGGTACCACCGATCTGAAGCACTTTCTGAAGCAGTCCCGTGGTATCGCCGGGCAGCGAGGCCTTCGTTTGTCATCAATGACGTCACTGGCCTAAAACAATATATCGATACAACGATCATGTTGGTGTGATACATGTGGACATGAGCACGAGCAACCACTTACTTTCACTTTCCTTTTTCTTTTTTTCTTTTTTACAGTTTCCACCCTTGCTAATGAAGTTTTTTCACTTTTTTTTCACTTTCATATAGATCACATGGATCAACACCATTCAAACACAAGAAAGAAGTGTCTAGATGCGCTTTTAGTAATCCGTCTTTAGAAAATTGTATTGAGGTTTCAGCACGGCACATCTACTTCATTCACATCGCCCAAGTGCAGTCTCTTTTCTTCTTTCCTTTTCACATTTTTCATCCAGCTCACGGAAAAGAGATTAGGAGAAGGACGTGATTTATAATTAGTTTTGCTTCCTATTCGAGCGGAGCCATGATGTTACCGCTAACGGGGTTTGTCCTCTGGTCCCCTCACAGGTGGTTTGTAATGGGCCCCGCTCGCTCCGGCACTGGCATCCACATCGACCCACTGGGCACCAGTGCCTGGAACGCCCTGGTTCAGGGACACAAGAGGTGGTGTCTGTTCCCCACCAACACGCCCCGTGAGCTGATCAAGGTGACCCGAGAGGAAGGGGGCAACCAGCAGGACGAGGCTATCACCTGGTTCAACGTGGTGTATCCCCGGACGCAGCAGCCCAGCTGGCCTCCAGAGTTCACACCGCTGGAGATCCTCCAGAGACCCGGGGAGACCGTTTTTGTGCCTGGTCAGTGAAGAAACATCATTTTATAAGACGTAATAATTCTCCATCAGAATCTCAACCATGAAAACACTAAAACCAATAATTGATAATACCTTCACATAAGCATGTCCCAATGATCTTGCATGTATAAAGGATTCTCCTAGGAGACTTAAAACTGATGTGAGATAAGTTGATGATGGAGGGTAAAAAGGAGATGCTTACCCAGTCAGACTACCAAAACATACCATCCCTACACCCCTGTATTAAGGAGATTGTAGGTGAGACATGTTGGGTGTAATATTCAGGGTCATTTGCCTAATATTTAAGTCTGAAATTGTGAATGGGCCACTTTAATCTGAGTTTTCTTAGAAGTGATGAGTCACCTGGAATGTGCTCTGTAATTTAAATGGTTTACCTTCAATGGCTACAATACCTTAAATCCTTTTAATCCAAATTACACATTTCTCTTGGTTTGAAAACAATTTAACTAGAGATGATCCGATCACGTGATCAGGGATCGGTTGCCGATCACGTGATTTTCAAAAGATCGGGAGAAAAAAATCGGGGATCGGGATTTTTTTTTTTTAATTCTTTTTTTAAATTTTGTATTCAATGTTACAAAACAAAAATGACCATGTTCAAGTCTTAAAGTCATCCTGAGGCCTTAGTTTTGTTTTCAAATTACACAACATCATGTATGTGTTGCTTCTTTGGGGCTTGTTTTCATAGACCTGGTTGCTTATTTCTCTCAAATCTGGCAACAGAGTGGGCAGGGCGCAGTGTCTAATTGTAGCAGTAAGCTAACGAGTACTGATAAGCTTTATTTAGTTTTTATCCAATGCTGCACAACTGAACTGATTCAATGCTGCTGTGAAAAAAAAAAGCTATATCCAATTTAAATTAAAAAAATAACCTTAAGGGACAACTTGAATGCTTTTTACTTTTTTTTCTCTTAATGCATTGCATAAAGATCGGATCGGGAAAAATCGGTATCGGCAAATTGTCAAAATCAAATGATCGGAATCGGATCGGGAGCAAAAAAAGGTGATCGGGACATCCCTAAATTTAACAGTTGGGATGATGTAAGCACAGAACTCCACAAAATACACAACATGTTTTTCGACATTTTAAATGGAACATATTATACATTAAAGACACATTGTTTTCACCACACAGTGTTGGTGGTGTGTACATCTGTGTGTATGAACAGAGAGAAACTCGGTGACCTAGACTCACATCAATTTATGCTAACAGGATTAATCCCAGGATTTAGACTTCACCTGTCTGACAGTAGATTACATCACAGACCAAACACCGACCTGTGTGTCTGCACACACTGGCTGTTGTTTTGACCCTCTTGCTTTGTTTACTCGATTCCCCCCACAGTTTGTTACAGAAGAATCCATCTCTATTAGATTTAATAATTAGATTTAAAGAACATTCGGGATCAAAAAAATAATGAACAAAGAAAAGGCATTTTAGGGAAATATTCATTATCATATTATTATTATTTCGATGGCGAATGTGATTTTGTTCCATCACAAATATTTAATAAATTAAATATCTTCTAGCAGCTACACTAATACGTATTTATAAAAACGTTTGCGGATGTTGAAAGCCTAAAAAAAGTTTGGTCCAATTAAAGTAAATGTTTGACCTAAATAAAGTCATCAATTATGTAAAAATCTTATGACACAAAGAATTCATATTTGGCCCAAATCAAATGGTAGTTGTTAGATTTCTGTACAAATATCATCCACAATAAATCCATACATGTGTTCAGGAGTTCTGTACCAAAAGTTATTTTTGATCAGTATCTGATAATCAGCTTCAAACAGGAACTGACATTTCATCATGTCGATTTGTTTTATCTTTGAGACAGAAATTCTCCTCAGGAACTTCTCAACATTTCTTAACCAGATATAATATATTTTTTAATTTTAATGTCAAAAACGTCATTAGCATTATTATCATAGAAATAATCCAAATGTGTTTTATTCATCTAGATTTTTTTCCCATTAAACACAACCTCTAACAGGTAAAAAGTAAACACATTAAACACTTACTTCACTGATATTTGCAGCCTTTTTATCAACTCTTCTAATTTTCTGTATCTTAAAACGTTTATTTGATTTTTATTTTAAGATTTAATTTTTTTCAAACAAATGAGTATCCCTGACACTCATTAAGCACCCACTGACAACATGTGAGTAGACAATCTAAGAATTATGTTTAAACTGAGGAAAGAGCAGCAGCATTTAGACAAAACAGGGAAGCAGCGCTGCAAGGTGTGCCATCTAGTGTTTGTTTCTGATGTTAATGGTGACTAGCTGTGTGTCCACAGGCGGGTGGTGGCACGTAGTCCTCAACATGGATACGACCATCGCCATCACTCAGAACTTCGCCAGCACGACCAACTTCCCCATCGTGTGGCACAAAACCGTCAGGGGGCGACCCAAACTCTCTAGGAAGTGGTACCGGTAAGAGTTCAGAAACACACAAGTAAACACTGAAGACTTTTAGCTTTACTCCCCTTATGCTGCTAACCATTTGCCCATTTTCAGTTTGAACGCAATAGTTATAGTTCTTCTTGTTTAGCCCTAGCAGTGTTGTAATCAATTAAAAATATTTAAAAAGCGCATATTATTCTCATTTTCAGGTTCATATTTGTATTTAGTGCCTCTACTCAGTAAACTACTAATCAAAGCTTGGAGACATGTCACAGTAGACTCTCCTGTGACATGTCACCATGCTTTAATGTTCAGAAGCTCTTTATTGTCCTCATACTGCCTGTGCGGCAGCACCTCTTTTCACCCTCTGTCTGAAACCAGAGCCCAGTCTGCTCTGATTGGTTAACTGGCCAGCTCTGTTGTGATTGGTCAAATGCTTGGAGATGTCCTTAACCTAAGTTATTTTTATGCATATTGTCATAATATCAAAATATCGGTATTTTATCTGAAAAAGGTGTGATTATTTTTTGATGTGGATGCATGTTTCTATGCTCAGATAAAGTTGTAATCTTAAAGAAATGCTTATTGGTTATGATGCAGTTATTCATCTTGTAAAGTAGAGCTCTTTCGTGGTTGTTCCAGGATCTTGAAGCAGGAGCGCCCCGACATGGCAGTGCTGGCGGACAAAGTGGACCTGCAGGAGTCGACCGGCATCGCCTCAGACAGCTCCAGTGACTCGTCTTCATCGTCCTCCTCCAGCTCCTCTGACTCCGACTCTGATGTATGTGCTAAAACACACACACGCACACGCACGCACACGCACACACACTGAGATTTAATTTATGCTAATAATACAAAACAAACTGAATTTTACATTTATGATTGATATCAATCACCCTAATTAATGTAAAGAGATACATGTTGAAGTAAAGGTAGGGATGCACAGACATGCACAGATGGTAGCAGATTATATGTTTGCTCTATCACTGGAATTGTCAATTATTATGGACAAAATCTGAAGTCTATGCTTCATTTTGAAGGATTAGAACACTGCCTGATGGCGGTCTGCCGTAACTGTAAAGTCATTCAGGGGGGGGGCTCTCCTCTCCTCTCTATAAGGAGCTGCTGCTGTGGGGGAGCACATGCTGCAGGATTTTTGCCCCCGGGATGGCTAAATGTAATCTAACATTCAGAGCGTGTTTTTCACATTTGATCACTTTGCTGTGAGAGATGTTTCACAACTTCAAAACGCTACAATATCCTGTGGTAGCCTCTCTGCTGTCAGAACAAAATGAATACAGACTCAGGAAGTGGTCTATCCGAGACAACATTTTCAAATTTGGGATATGCACAATTAATTAATTGAATTAAAATAAAAAGTATAATCAAAGGACTATATATATACCTCTAATCAAAGGGTAAACAAGTTGAACAAAAGGATGACATTTAATTCAAAGTTGATGAATTAAACGGGAAAAGGTAACTATAAAGTAGGGCTGCCCTCGACTAAAGATTTTTCTAGTCGTCTATTAAGGCGATTAGTCGACTAATCGTCTCACGTTTATGATGCCTTATGATTATAAATATATATATTTTTTATTCTTTCCCCCCCCCCAAAAAATGGTTTCAGTTTCAAAGGCTGATGAAAAGCGCTATTATAACAGCATGGTAAGTTGTGCTTCACATCAAATATAAAATAAAACTAATAATGAACCTTTGAAATATAAATGAAATGTAGAGAGCGAATGAGAGTCACAGCGCACGGACGCAGCGGTATAAACAGCAGAAGCTCCGGTAAGGATTCTTATTGTGTGTGTGTGAACAAGCAGTGAGGACACACACGGAACATTTAGTTCTAGTTTCTATTATTCATATCTGAATATAACAACCCAATAAATACTACAGAGGAAACGGAAACACTGAAAATATGAGCGTCGGCAAAAATCCCTCATCATGAAATGAAAGCTTTATCGTTTTCTGAGGTCAGAATGATTATATATTATAGGTCTATATATGTTGATACAAAGCTAGGCTACTGCCCGACTCACTGCTGCCGTTTTCCTCCGAGTCTGAGAAAGTAACACACGTTGGGGAGAATTAAGCTCCGTGTTTTGTTATGAAGCCGGCATTCAGGAAGCTGATCTCTGATGGTGTGGATATGGAGGAGGCTTTTTGCTGTTGTAGTTTGCCTTTACTCGCTCAGAAAGTAGATCCACACTTTGGATTTCCTGCCCGACCAAATTAAGTGAATGACCAGGCTCCGCTCTGAATGAAGTCTGAGGGTTTGCAGCGAGTTTTAAAAAAAATGTTGTATATATATATTTTTTTTTTTTAACTAATCGACTGATGAAAAATTGCCTCGATTATGACTTAATTAGTTGCCTAGTGATTCATCGACTATTTGGGGGCTGCCCTAGAAGACATGAACAAAACATACGAGTATCATAAAAGCTTTTTTTGCCACAGATCTTGTTTTCTACAATAATCTGAGAGAACTCTTGCGATAGTAACTTCTGGGTTAGTCTTCACATCACTGCACCACTGTGTATGGCTCCAGTCCCCCTAACCTGCTGTCTGAAGCAATACTTGATGCTGTATTTCTTAGCTTACAATAAAATGTGTCATATAGAGCAGTGCTTCTCAAACCTTTTAAAGTAATGTACCCCCTTTGAAACATTTTCTCAGCCAAGTACCCCCTGACCGACCCCAAACACTTTTGATAGAAAAAGCCAATATAAATAATTAGAATATAGTGATGCTCCATCAATGTGTGATGTATTAACTCCATGCACGAATTACAACAAACTAAGGATATTTTCATCTTTAGTAACAGATTTTTAAGCAATATATGTTATTATATATAATAAAATCCACTGTGGTGCCTGATGTGCAACTATACCATCCGAAACCCCATGCATAGAAAACAGCATTACATTAGCAGTCTCTAATGTAGTGACCACAATGCATGAGAGGGTTAAAAAAACAACAACGTTCTAACTGAAAAAAATGTGCAATTATAAACAAACTATGTAATAACACTGCAATTTTCCACCGCAGCGGAGCCGGCTCTCAGTACCGAAAGCCGGTTCTTAGCTGGCCCCACTCGGCTGCCGGCAAGTATCAATACTTCACGCTTACGTCTGAGGGGGGCGAGATTAACCTGAGCAATAACAGTTAATCGCGAGTACGGAAAATACAAGTTGTAACAAGCAGTAGCGCTGAGCAAAGTGACTGCGTGACCACACACACTTGTAAAAACAGAGAAGAACCAGTTAAGCACTAGAAAAGCACAAGAACGGATCTTGAACCCTTGGTGGTTCTAGGAATATTTTATGTACAATTGTGTTTTCTATTTAACTTATTGTACTACGATTATTTTTGTAATCATGCATGGTATTTTTTTAATTAACCTTTTTTTTTTATCTCACGTACCTGCAGTACCCCAACGTACCCATAGGGGTACCCCCATTTGAGAATCACTGAAGAGAGTAGCACTTATGAGCATTTAACATGCAAGTATCATAATCGTGTGTTTACCACAAATCTAGTTTTCTACAATATTGCAAAATCAGATGGAATAATCCCATTGCTTTTTGTCCAGTGAGCCGTTGTGATGCTTAGTTCAGGCTCGGCCTACAAAAATAAATCATCACTACACCACTAAATTATGAATTGGATACGGGCAAACAGCATATAATGTGGAAAAAATCTGGCGTCGCCGCTATTTGTATATAGGGAAAACACTGGGGTTGGGTATCGTTTGAATTTTAACGATTCCGGTTCTGCTTTTCGATTCCAGTTATTTTCAGTTCCGGTTCTTTGAGAGGGTAAAAATAAGTCCCATGACAAACTGGGAGAAAAATATATTTATGAAAACATTAAGTCAAATCTGTATTCCTATTTCCAAATCACTTCATACTGTTTAATTTGTTAGGTTATTGAATAAAATTATATAAAAATAATCTCTGCATTGTTTAGTTAGTTCTAAGTGGTGCAGTTTGAGAATGTACAATTGGCCCAGTCTCCTCCGATGTTACACTGCAACCTGCCTGTGAGACAGAGTCCAACCACACATGTCCAACACATAGGCCTAATAATAATAATACATTATATTTATAGCCTATAGGCCTAGCGCTTTTCTACAACTCACAGACGCTTGCACGCTTACACATGTCCTGCAATACACATGCTGCAGCTGCCCAGCTGCTCACTGTTTGTAAAAGTAAATAAATAGTATTCTCAATTCAATAATTTACTTTCTTTACCCTGCTTCATAAACAATACTGACATCCCTTTGCTCCTCCGAGTCTGGGGGTCCGGGGATGTGAGGACAGCGCGAGGACACAGACAGGGAGGCTGCTTTACTCACAAAGGAATGGC